GCGAAAGCACCGTCCTGGAGTCCTGGAGGCATGAAGCGGTCCAGGCGGAGGGCGTACGCACGGGGCGTGGCGCGGCGGGGTGTGGCGGGGCGCGTGGCGGCCGCGCGCCAGACAGCCTCAACCAGCAGCAGGGGCGCCCGGCCCGCCCCGCTACCTGCACAGGAGCACAGGGGCGCGTGCGAACGGAACGGAATGGCAGCTGTCTCTCTCGCTCTACACCGGGACCTTGGGTCGCGTGTGCGAGGGAGAGGCACCGTGAGGAGGAGGACGATGAGCAACGGGTCGGGCCGAGTCGAGCGGAGCTGGAGCGCCTACCAGATGACGCCTAGAGCCTCCCTCCCGTGGCCCGCCCCCGCCCCCGCCTCGGTCCCCACCTCACCACAGCACGAGATATGATGCACGAGAGCTTTAAAAAAGAAAAGAGGGGTCGGGGACGGGGATCCACTCGCACATCGTGACATTGTCAAAACGGGTGCGCGCGCCACCCGGAGGCGGGGCGGGGGAGAGGCACCCGGGAAGCCTGTGGGTGGCTGAGGGGGTGTTTATTTTCTGCAAGTTCATGAAACTTAAAGGAGTCCAGAGTAGCGGAGTTTACCGCGTGAATCGACACCTGGCGAGACGTCTCGAGCACTCTATGGGTCATCCCTCCTCAAACAGAAAAGTCCAAAACATACCAGAAAAAATACATTCTTACGTTAGTGTCGTGATCTCTGTATTGGTAAGAAGATTATGCACGGTAAAAACGGCGTCCTAGTTTTCATGACGTTTTTGAAAAACCATGACGTCTTATGGAAGAAATGCATAGAAATCGTCATGGTTTTCCAAACGTCATGAAAACCAGGACGTCGTTTTTACCGTGTGTATTGTGTTGCAACCATCGGTTCATACCCTACCTCTTTTTAAAAGAGCTTGTGTTTGAGTTGTTATTTTTGTTTTTCTCCTTCTCTGATAACACCCGGTATCTCTTTCATTTCATCTGACACGCCCGCCCCCGATTCGTTTTCGCGATGCACCCGATGCACCGGGCGGGGGCCGAGGCGGGGCCATATGGCGCGATGAGCTCGGCGATGAGCCTTGCAGCCTTCCGACTCGTCGAGGGGTCTTTTGTTTTCGAGATGAGAGATTGATCGATGGGGTGCAGCGCGGGCGCAAGCAGCAGCGTGCGCCCTAATCCAATCCCGAAAACACGCGCTATCTCTCTCCCTCTCTCTCCCCCTCAGTCAGCGAATTACCCCATGGTGAGCGAAAGAAGTGTGTTATTTTCGAAAGGGGAGGGGGTCGTAGTACACGCCCTCCTGCGTAGTTTTGTGTCTTGTTTTTTTGTTGTTCTCTGTTTTCAGCAGGCGTGCAGTCAAAACTGCCTTCATATTCGCTCTGGTCCGTAATGAATGACAAATGGTGGACGACGCGCACGAGACGGAGGAGAAACATAGAGGAGGAACCTTGCTGCCGCCTAAATGGAGACAGCGACGGCCACGGCGGCGGCTGACTCAACTGCGCCCCGACCCGACCCCGCGTTTTGGATTAAAACCTGCGATCCGTTTCGGTAACCCCCCCCCCCCCCCACTCACCCACTTACTCCTCCAAAACAAAACCTCACAAGAACCTCGTCATCCGACGTACATTCCGAATTACCGAGCCCTCCTCCCAGCTGCCTTCTTCTTCCGAATGCCGCTTGGTTAAAATGAAAGTTTTGTCTCATGAAATTAAGGAACCTCTCCAAGCTCCAAAACAGTCCCGCCCCCATCCGCACGAGCTGTTTTATTCTTTTCCATTTTTTTTTCGAACTTTCTTCGGAAACTTCACTCTCTCTCGCCATTATTGTACTCCCCTCTGTCTCTTCCTCTTCCTCCGCCTCCCATCAGTCATGGTAAAGTAACATGCATGCACACATACTCACACACACACTCACGCACGACACACACACACACGTGTGCTCACACGTGTATTGACACCAGGGGAGGCATCAGAAGGATGTGTTGTAATAATTATCCCCACTGCTGATGAGTTTGGACGCCCCCGCCCCAAAGCGCCCCAAAGCGGGCCGCCTCCCGCCTCCTTCCGAGGAAGAAAGTACCGGGGGCGGATAACACCTGACCCACTTATTGGCAATGCCGGGTTGTTTTATTGTTATTTTTTGTGCGTTTTATTATTTATTATTATTTTTGTTTTGTTGTCGCAGCTTTTGTCCCTCCTGCCGAAAAAGAAGACGCAATATACATAATACCACTTACTACGACAAGGTCTGTGGCCCGCTTCGTGGATCGTTGCCCTGCTGAATAAAGATTTGAGACCAACTCACATGTGTTTCACTTTGTGTGTAATGTCCAAACCATGGGGTGTAACCGGGTGTAATGTAACAAGGGGCAGAGCAGATGCCGTTGCTCTTTGCTTGCGAAACTGCAACATCATATCATACGATCGGCTGCGATACTGTTTGTCGCAAACATTCTAACCGCCAATATGCCAATATGTACAGACGGTTGCCTGTGCGGCCAACCCGCTGCTAATTCGCCTTCAAGGCCAAACCATTTCCACGAATGCACACGCGCCGTTAAATCCTTACAAACAAATTAGTTGGCAGGCTTGAGAAGCATTTGGAAGTTTTGTAATACACAACACATGATTTGTAGCTTATAAAGCATTGCTTTGTAAGGTTTTATCGGTCACTCACTAAGGGACTTGATTGTCCCAAGACGGGATGCGACTTTATCTCATCATATGCTTGAGGCAAATTTAACCATATTATTGGGACAGTTTCTATCCGACCCGAGCTAGTTCAATTCGTTCTAGTTTTACAAATTTGTTTCGAGCAAATGTGCACGAAATCACGTCCTTTCTTTGGGACCGTTCAGGACAAAGTAAGTAGTCCTTTCTCATTTAGTGTGCAGAAATTATCAGGTGGCACTGATAGATAGCCAAAACAGGCCATATAATTGCTTACCATCTAAATGCATTCATCATTTAGAAGCAGAAGCATGTAGGCGGACTTATTTTTAAGCATGTATGGATGAAAGCGTTTTTGTATGTGTTGTTTTACGGTGACTTGAACGCAAGTCGCGAGGTGCGGGTAGAATTCGAAGGGAAGATTGGGAAGATTGGCCAGGAACAATTTTAGGGAGCATGGAGAAGGCGAAAGGGGGTCGAAGGCAAAAACAACAACAATAAAAAAGAGGTTTCCCGTGCCGAGCCTGAGCGGTCCGAGATGGGCACACGACCAGCACGCGAGCGCTCCCGCCAGCGCCGCCCACGCATCCCCTCCCCACAGGTCTTCTCAATCTGTCTCACTCCATCCCACTCGCTCCCTCGCACTCCCGTGTGTCTCATCCCATTTGACTTTATCCTCTCCTCCTCCCCTCCCCTCCACACGCACAACACCGCCAGCAAGTAATAAAAATGAAAACACTCGAGGTAAACCCCCAAACGTATTGAATGTAACGGGCAGATGACATGAACACCATCCCAGCGCGTAGTTACAGTGCACACAGTACATAAAAATCTACAATTCTGTATAATTTTTACGAGAGTAAAGCCGCTTACCGGAAAAATAACGAATCCGACTGTTTATTTTCATTCGTGATTTTCAAGAGTTTCCGACACAACGTACCAGCCACCTTTTTCAAAAAAAGTTACAGTAGCGCATGCACATTGTTTGGGCTGGTTGCCTCCTACAGGGTGGGTGATCCGCGCCGAGGCTTTTTTCTGCTTATACTGTACCGTATTCATGCGTGCGGACGGGTTGCATACTCGCACGGGGCCGTAAGGAGCCATGGCGAGCGACGATAGGCAAGCCCGCCCGCACGCATGAATCCGGTACAGCATAAGCAGAAAAAAACCACCCTGTATACTCGTTTGCAAGCAAACCCTTGATCATGGCGGGATAGGTGAAGTCGGGTGAGATGAGGAAATGTAAGTATACCGGGGCTGGAGGACACTATGCCAAGAGTAGTCTATTTTTGCATGGGAAAATAAATGCGATCATTTCTACAATTTACACATTTGCTAGAACTTCAGACTGCTTTAAGGGGAAGATTGGACGTTGCACGCCGTCGACCGGCGGCGGCAGACACCCTCGCCCCCTTTCCCCTTCCCTTCCTCCACGCCGAGAAGACACAGGCGGCGTCAATGAAGCCCCGAGAGGAGTCGGCCGCTGAGCTCCGCTGAGCGCGGCTGAGCGGGCGCGTGTGGTTGGCCGTGGTCACGTCCCCGTGACCAATGAGCGGGCGCGCTGCCGCCCTCCCCCTCCCGCGCCGCCTCTCTAGCCCGCTGCTCTTCTTTCCGCTCCCCTTCTCCATCCCCCCGCCCG